AACATGTCTTTTTGATAAAATGATTAAGCTAGTTTAGTACACGGTATTTTCAATCCAATTGATGCATTAATCAAATTTGTATCTTTGAATATTTTCAAACAACATTATGCTACTATGTAGATTTCGCATGAGGAGCTTATGTAGAATTTTCTAGCATTTTGAGTTATATCTTTATATTATTACTGTATCCTATTTTGGTTATAAGTTAGTTCTAATTAACTCTAGTTGTAGAGAGTAGAACTTTGTTGGCTTTTCTTTTAGATTTTCCAATTAACTCTAGTTGTACAGAGTGGAATTTTGTTAGCTTTCCTTTTAGATTTTCCAATTAACTCTAGTTGTACAGAGTGGAATTTTGTTAGCTTTACTTTTAGATTTTCCAATTAACTCTGATTGTGCAAAGTGGAATTTTATTTACTTTCCTTTTAAAATTTATCGTTAAATAATTATATTGGTCACAGAAGTTACTATTCACTCAACATGAATCAAGAGAGAATTATTGAGATTTAACTTGGGTTTTGGATTAATCATGGTTAGCAAACTCCAGTGAGGTGTCACTATAGCTGCCGGGTATATAAACCCCGTTTCACCTTCGTTGTATTTCCGAAGAACATTTTTATATCAACACTTCTTACCGAGGGCGTAGGCGATATCCAGGCGAACCAAGTACATGATCATGTGTTGATCTTTTGTTGTTCTCCCTCTCAATGTGAATTCTGAAGTTTATCGTGTATTACTGTTGGTGAATTATTACTGTTACTGCTGGAAGTTTTAATCCTATTGAAAATTGATCGAGAGTGACAACATTTTTATAATAATATGCAGGGAATCAATCTTCATCATAGTGCTCATCTCTTTACATGGAGGTGAAGGTAGTTCAAACAATTTTCCAAGTTATTCAAATAAACTCCCAACCTAAATGTATATCCTTGGTCAATGACTGATCGACCTCTTATGTAAGTGCATGATTTAAGAAGAATCGATTTCATCAACCTTCAGTGTAGAAAAATGTATGGGAGCAAGCAGCGGAGTGTATGTTTCATCTGCCTTATTACTCACAAAACTCATGAGGGAGTCACGAGTCACATCCATAGCAAGCGGTCAAGTTATGTACATACTTCAATTTATCAGATTTAGAACTACATTAGACCGTGCAATAAATTTCACAACCGAGTCGATGTTGCTTTTGGGTAGGTCCACAATACTCAAAGAATGCCAAGTCGTCGAGGTTATGTACATTTAGCCACTCCAGCCAGCCACATCACCGCGTGGTGTGGCACCTTTGGAAGTGGTTAGCAGTAGTTTACAAGAATATAAAATATTTCAACGCTAGAAGTAGAGGTTGCATCTCGAGGTTGAGCTCAAATCTCCACAGAACGTGGTCCGAAGGACAACAAGTCAACTTATAAGACAAGCTATTCTTGAGTATGTACGTCCTTCATTTGGTAGTAATGAAACTGCGTCGGACTGATGATGAAGTTGCATAGAAGGTTCAAGAAAAATGAAAGGATGAGACTCGCTGACAAGAGAATGTGTCTACAACGCAATAGAGAAGAAGGTGAGTGGGGTCTTCCAATCATCACACACTTGTATGTGGGAAGGCAATCCAACATTTGAAGATCATATCATTGGACAGTAGCTGCTATACACAATAACTGTGATGATGACATGTGGTATGCAGTCTTAAAAAATCATCCACGGGCAGAAAAGAAGAAGAAATTGTTTTTAATCCAGTTAGAGAATAATTTGGGCTTGAGCAGAAAGCCTTTAATTTTGTTCATAAATGAAGTCGCACCGACATAAAATAACGGAGCATGGAGGACAAACAAGCCGACGAGACAGAGTCCATCGTATCGAGCGGGATCACTTTTGCTCAGAGGACTATGAGCAGTCTTCAATTGGGACTGGTGTTTGGTTAGAGCTCGACCGTGATAAGTCTAACCTCTTCGGCGCCTCAAAGTCGGAGAGTACCATTGTACTAGTTTTGTAGTCAGCAATTCACTATTACAGTGAATATCAAGCGCTTGGTTTCTTGCAATACTGTATCACATTTATTCCCTTCTGGTTTGTTATCCACGCAGCCATCTGAAGGATGTCATTCGGGTCCGAAATCTGTTGAAGTGAATGTAAATGGGAGGTAAACATGTCATTCGGAGGTGAGAACCCTACATCGTAGGTGGCTCCCTATTCGAAGGTGGTAACAGTCCATGAAAACTTTCTCAAAACAGAGGACGATATGCATACAGTTGAGTTGAAGGTTTGATGCAGATATTATTCGTATGTCTTCAGTATGTGTTGGTCTTGTACCCCTCGAATTTCCTTTCTTGCAAAAGACGCAGCTTCGTGGAAAGGCTGGCTCTTCAATCAATGAAAATCTCACTCATAGATGAAATCCTGAATCAATGGAGTACAGAGGTCGAAAAGTTCTGCTGTGGATGGCTTGTTTGCTTATGGCAATATCGAACATGTATGTCTGAATTCCCACTCTCTCCGTGGATTTTAAACTCACGGCGACCAGGGATTTGTTTGTAGTTGTGGGAAGATTTATAGAATATAAGTAATTAATTCCAGGCTCACGGCTGTCAATCAGCTATAAGGGCGGAACAGACAAGCGGATACATTGTGCTCCCGAGTGGACTTGCAGGTTTGCGATTGCCGTGTTGTCATATTACATGTAATGGCAATTACTTTATATATATTACTTGAGTGTTCCTATAATCATAATGTAATAATAATTGTAATACCTTTGGGCCAGGCATAAAAAAATATGCATCCCTGAGGCGCATAATATGATATGAAATGATTTCTTCGAGTCTAAGATGTTTGTTTGTGCATGGCGGTAAGACGGTAATTTCTCGCCTAGATATGTGTGTTAAGGCGTCGTCACGTTTGTTTGACTGGATGAGTGACAAACTTGATTTGTGTACTTACTATTTACAACAAATAGTGATAAGTAGGTTCAAACGTTATAGTGCCGATCTACAGTATCTTAAGATGCTGTGGAAACAGTTCGCAATGCGGCCACCATTTAAATCGAGAGAGCGATCGATGTGAAGGAAAACAATATGTCCCAAATAGTGCCCACGGAGTTCCCACTTCATTCCGACTCGTTCAGGGCGTGATGTTTGCAGTAAATTGCTTCATTTCTCCACCCCGTCCCAACTTTAATAGTGCTTGGACGTCGTGCAATTATGTTCGAAATCCCACTCTCAACGACACGAACCGCAAATTCTTTTCAACGAAAGTCGTGCTCAAAATGACTCATTATTGCAATGGGAAACGGAGCAGTGCGACGTACCTGTTTCCAGCTAATCGAGTTGTTTCACTTGGCAATCAGGTTTGGACGTGGATCAATGATCCCCATCGTTACCACTTATATTGTTCTGAAAACTGGGTGACAAGTTACTATCTGACGAGGTAATAGTCACCAAGCTCGTACCGTTTAATGCAGACATAATGTACATCGGAATCCCTTCTGGTTTTGGAACTGTCATTCTGAAGAATCGAACGGTTGGGCTCACCAAATTTTCTTTTTACAGACAATAATCCTTACACCAGGAAACGAGGCCCACTCGTAAGGCAAACCATCATGGACAGAATTGGAAAGGGTCGAGTATCAGCACATTTGTCGGGGCTCCTGCCATTTGGTCATTACGGTTTTCCCTAGAATCGCCTTTGCTCCCTCTGTACTTGGGCTCCATATTCAATACATATTTCGCTTCAGACTCGTCTGCCATCGGCTCGATCAGTTGCTTCTGTTCGTTGAAAATGAAAGCACGAAATGCGGGTGGAAGAAGAGGGACATGTTAAGTACGAGGAGGCCAGAAGGGAGCCCCATCCAAACTATTATGATGCGACTTGGGACAGAAGTCTCATCATCTCAAATTAGTTGGGGGCTATGCGTAACGTCACGAGTCTTTTATTGTCCAAGCCTCGGAGAGACGGCAGGTTCGGAAGACCTGAAATACGGTTGGGGGGAGCATGGAACCACGTCACCAAGTGTGCATGAAAACGCACTCGATCTGCCTTCTTTTCAGAAAAGAAAAGCTGATTCCGGGAGATTCCTCTGATAACTGTTTGTGTACAAAAGACGTCGCTCGACACTGCCTGCAGAAGGCAGCGAGCGACCGAGCGACCGAGCGACCGAGACCTTCGGAGCTCTCGCTCCCTGTGTAATCCGAGGATCACTCCTCCTCCTCCTCCAAGGCCAACTGGAGTGGCCTGCAGAGGTCCACCAGACTCTGCCCGGACGAGAGAGCTTCAGCTCGAAATTAGGAAACAAAATATAAAGATAGAAAAAAAGGGGAAAAGCAAAGCAAAGCAGCAGCAGCAGCACAGCTGCGCAAGTAAGTAAGCAGTAAGAAAAAAAGAAGGAAGACGGCAGAGGGCAAAAGTCACGCGAGGTCGGGCAGCCACAGAAGAGTTCGATCGATCGATCGATCGACAGACAAAGCGAGTATTCATACCGCCGAGTATAAAGGAATGTACCACTTGCCATGAGCCGGCCCGGAAAGGCGTGAAAAGTCTGGACACGGCCGCTAGCTCATGAAGGGCAGTCCGTAACGTCGCCGTCGTCGTCGTCGTCCTCGGCTGCGGGTCGTCAGTGAGTCCGTCCGTCCGTCTGTCCCTCACGGTTCAGCTGAGCGTGAAAGGCACCGGAGTTACCGAACGGGCGTCGGCCGCTGCAACAGACCCAGGGCGAGAAGGCGGTGGTATGTCGGGGGGGGGGGGGGGCCGGGGGGCCGACGTGGCAGGGCGCTACAAGTGTAAAGGGAGCCGGGGGGAAGGATAGGAGGAAAACATGTGCCACATGGTGCCAGGGGGCGCGGGGGGGAAATAATATTTTAAGGGCCGGGGGAAATGGTGAAACGGAAACCTTCTCTGCGAGCGCTTGTCGTTAGCTGGAGCACGGAAGCACATCATGGGGCAGAAATTCAGCTCATTAAATGCGAGCCCGCAAAAAAGCTGACGGTTGGGTCTGGTCTTCGTCGCTGGCATAGGCCTCTCTCTCAGACTCGAGACAATCCTGTGCTCCTCTTTATGAGGACTATGATTCCCCATCTCACCACGGATCTATGCAATGTCTTCTCGACTGTTGAAGAGATATGCAGATAGACTAGGGATTCTCTTTTACCTTACCCTCCTCCCTCGCTCCCTCGCTCCCTGGACTCTACAGCCAGGCACGGAGGCGGGAAGTAGCATTCTTTGCTGTTCGTGTCTGATCAGATGCTGAGTTTTCAGCTGGATGCACCTTTTCCTTTTTTTCTCTTTCTCTCTCTCGTGCGAAGAGGGCGTCTAATTCGATCGGTCTAGCTCATTTTATGGATGAGCTAGACCGATTCTAGTTGCTCCTTCCCTCATCTTCCATCTTCCATCATCTGCTGCTGCTGCTGTCGTCCTTGCCTGCCTGCGTGCCTGCGTGCTGGCTTTCCAACCCTATCGACCGACTCGCCAGCGCTGCAGCCGAAGATTGCATGAGAATATATTCTTTGACTCGTTCTGGGACCTACCTGTATCCAACGGCGCATTGCCGATTCAATTAAGACTCCGCCCCCAGAGGATAACCCGCCTCCGTCGTCAACGTGTGTCGGGGCAGCTCGAGATATATCCACCGCCTCGTCAATCTCGCGTCCGGTCCTAGGACTGTCGAATTTTTTCTCTGCAAGAGCCATTCCCTGCATTCTTGAGCTGCGGCTGCTCACATTGCTCTCACGGCGATGCGAGCTGCCGAATCGCCGAGTCTACACAGGAATCCCCCAATCTGGTGACACTTCCCACGCCTCACTCATTCGTCTCTACCTGGATCCGATTATCCTCCGAATCGTGGGCACTACCTCGCGGTGTGGAAGGATCAGCTCGGGGAGACGATGCGTTGAGTGCTGCTATCTTCTGCTACCGAGTGTGCTGCAATCGTTCTTGCATTGTCACTCTGCCAAAAAGCGTATCTTTTTTCTTTCTGACCATTACACCCCAGCGTTGATTCTCTTCTGAAGGCTGTCACATTCAGTAGCTTTTTCCTAGAGCTCGAGCTTCACTCGGAGTATCCAGAATCGTGGCTGCTAGCCGATAAGCCGAGCTAGGTCCTCCCACCGGTACAGCGCGAAGTACACTACCATCAATGCCATAGAGTCTCCCACTTTGTACACAATGTGTGCGACAGCTCGGGCTCATTAAACTCGATCTACATACAGTCTAGATAGACACCTATAGTGTTGTCGAGACTCTGATGCTTATGGCAGTCCCTACGCTCCCGGATGCTGAATTGCTCCCGACTCTCAATTCTTGTATGGAACGGTGTGTCTGTGGGCCGACCAGCGCTGCACTTGCAAGCTCCGAAGCTTGATGATCATTCGTCCAGCTCCAGAGGCAACATTTCTGCAATTTCTCGTGTGACGTAGACGTAGCCCCTCCCGGGGAGACACAGTTTTCAAGCTGAGCAGAACTTCGTGTTCTGGTGTTTTCACCGTACGACGAGCTTCTCAGAGAACGAGTGATTTGAAGAGCTACGCTTCGGTCCAGCAGCTCACGTTCGAAGAATGGAGTGCGACCCCTGGGACTGGCAAGATGAAGGACTCAAGCTGGATGGCGGATACACGCTAGGTGTGTGAGTGTGTGAGGCATTGTGCATGGACGCAGTTTTCGACCTTTGTATCTGTCTATCCTCCTGTGTAGATTAGAGGAATGAGCTTTCAGGGAAGCTTTTGATGTGATTCCCCAGCATATGGTTCTTTTTGTCCAACTTCTCAAGCTGACTCCGGAGCTGGTATCACACAGAAACGGCCAAATATTTCTGGGACGAAATGCCATTCGACGAAGATGTGTCAAAGACTTTACTGTCCACTCCCATCGCCGACATTCTGAGTCAAGATCCACCCGTGTACGCGATCCGCAACCAAGGTGAGGAAGACCCTCGTTGTCCCATGCGGGACCGCTGATTCAGCCAGGTTCTTGTGCCCTGCATGCCACAGCCAATCTCACGTCTGCGTCCTGATCCTTGGGCAGATCCTGTAGCCGCTTCCACCCCCGGCTTGAGTGACAACGTGTTCCGCGGAGGAGGTCTTCAGGGAGCCTGCAGTCCCAGAATCAAAAGACGTCGCCTGCTGTTTCGGGAACCAGAGTCGGCGTTCGATTCCAGAGAGGATTCTAGCGCTGGTCTTGAATTCTTCACGGTACAATTGCTTTCACCGATCCGGATTATCTTGTTCTTTGGCTTGAACGAAAACCGGACATTTGAATGCTCACTGTATAACGAGTATTGATGGAGTCACTGCGCTGGAATTCTTTCGTTTTTTTACACAGGATGGTGTTCCAGACATTCAGGCACCTTTGGAGGATCAAAGTTTGCAATCAGATGCATTTTGGTACAGGCCTTGCGGTAAGTTTGCGATCGATTCGCGGTCACTTGTTGATCTCGCACTCTGAATAAAGACAGCGTTGACAGCTGCAATGTCGGTCCTGTGAGAAATGGAGACGAACTAACTAATTGATCCACGCATTGCAGACGGTTCCGTGAATGCTTTCGGAGACGTAGACGTCCTGGACGGCGGATCTCACCGATGGATGGCCAAGTGTCTAGAAGAGGGCGAATTGAGCAACAAGATGCGCGATGATATGTAAGAAGCGTATGCAGACGTCGGTTAGGATTTTGGAGTGAAGCGTGATTTCTCGGATCCTCGTGGGATGCTTTTTTCTTCTTTTACGGAAAAGAATGCTTCTTTATGCAGGAATTCTGATGCAGCCTTGTTCATGTTCTGACGATCGCGCAGGAAGATCGCACTGCCAGGATGCGACTCTCCCAATGCTCCCGGACATGCCCCCCGCGAAGAGGACGTACAAGGCCCAGCCACCCCTCTACCGGGAAGAACTGCACATGGTATGCACCACAGCTGCCAGACATTTCCTCAGTCCATGCATGTGAGCTCCTCACGGTCGCTGCAAGTGGCCGGCTGGCTTTTTGTGGATGCGTGTATAACCAATTTCGTTTGTCTGACAATGGTGAACAGGATGCAAGCCAATCGAGCAGAGAAATCAGCTGTCGCCGCCTTGTACTCCCAGTGCGGCGAAGTTTGCTGCAGCTGCTGCTGCTGCAGCGGCCCCAGTAGCTTACCCTTTCACTCTTTTGAAGCCCGAAGGCGGTCTCACGTTGCGGGAGATCAACGAGAAGCTGATGTCGCCACCGTCCCGGCCGGTGCCCCATGTACAAGCAGAGGATGCCTGGCCTACCTCCCCTGGCGAACTGGGCCTGGGGCTGTCGGGGAAGTCGGTCATCACTCGGACGAGAATTCACACCATGGGAAATGGTACAATTACCATCATGAGAACAAGGGACTAGACTAATTCAGATGCATGAACTGCTACGAGACGAGACGAGACGAGACGATGGCAAGCCGCTTCCTGCTCGAATGCGGAACTGGGCCCCTCGTGCATACACAAAACCAGGGACGATTTTCAGATACAATTCTCTCAAAGAGAGTGTCGTACCAGTCACACATCACATTACCTTGACACTATCTATGCCAGCCAGCCAACTGGTGTACTAGCAGGCGTAATGAATTTGTTAATAAGGCCCAGGGCTGGTACCCGAGCTGTTTTTACAACGACTGTAGAAGCTCCCAACCTTTAGTGTATAATTTGTATTGTATTTCGAGAACTTTTGAACGAATCTGAATGTAAAGCCCCACAGCAGTGGAATGTGCGAAAAACTGATCATTAGCGACTCTCCAGCTCCCCTCGACCTCAGGAGCGGGCAGAGAGAGAGAGAGAGGAGAAAAGACGAGTCTCCTCCAAAAGGAAGGAGCTGCTGCTGTTGAACTGGACGACATTTTGTATAACAAGCATGTGTTCAACAAACAGATGCCATGGTATTTTCACACCCCACGTTATGTTGACTCCACTTCTCGAATAGACATGTGATGTCCTACTTTGGGATCTGGATCTACAGCGGCGTAAAGTTTTCCCCATTATGTTTTTCGGGATTCTCGACTGTGACTCCCTCCCTCCCTCCTTCCCGACACTGACATGAGCCGAGGTCCGAACCCTGTTTCATAACTCTACAGTGTGCCCGGCCCCGTCCCGTCTTCCGGGCCCCATGGCTGGACAACGATACATCTCACCTTTGGCCCAATGGCGATCCGGTCCACGCTGGGATATTGCTGTAATTTTCCGTACCCTATGTATCCAGAGACGCAGTGCAATCTGAGTCTCTGACTCTTCGAGAGCTTTCTCTGTGTCCAATCATGTGCTTGGCCCGAGAAGGAAATTCATATCCTGGATTTGTATATAAGTGTTTGAATCCTGACAAGGCACTGAATTAAGTTGAATGAATACGGTGAACGCCGTGCCCAATCATCCTCCGTGCAAGCACAGTGCCTGCTATTTTCGCCCGAAATTTTACAACTCAGATGGCAGATCGCTTGTACGTCACTGCGTGTATCTGACAGCTCATGAGGCAACAACCACCTTATGTGACTGGGAGCCCAGCTTCATAGCCATGAAGGGGAAGGAAGGGGTGATAAAATTTCCAGGCCAGATTATAATTCAAATCCAGGTTATATAAAGCCTTCAAATATCTTGGTTTGGGTATCGGTGTCAATATATTTTCTTGGAAAGTCTACGTTCTATTGTAACAATCTCGTTCGTGCCGACCAATCAGAAGCTGTAACTTCGTCCACGGGAACCATGCAGAATCTATGTTTGACGATATCCTTGGTGTTGCCACTTTGACTGGCTATTTCGGATCGTCAAAATGGGCACCAAGCGAGACTCAGTGAGTCTTTGGTGATGTAATCGGAGGTTATGAAGTTTGAATTGAAGACGTGCTGAAGTTACCATCAACTATGAAACAAAAACCAACGATGAAACTGGTTTCGAGGAGATGAAAAAGTTTATCTCCATTGTCTTGTAATGCCAAGCACCTTTTTTTTGAATTTCTCATGACATTTCAGCGGGAATTGCTTAAAAGGGAACATCATGATTCATGTGGATATAAACGTACGCATGTTTGCTTCAAATCTCCTTTGACCTTCGATTTCACCAGTTTTGACTGGTGAGAAGAAGGCACTTGCATGCAGAAATTAGTACACACTGTTATCTCATGTCAAAGCCGTCCGAATTTCCAACAGTAAAGCTTTCCGGTGAAACAAATAGTTTGGTGTAATTTCAATAACCTCCGTGCCATTTTTTTATCTGAAACTACACCATCCTTGGTGGCACACCCCAGATCAATCCTTTTTACACAATTACTCCATGCCAGATTTCTCTGACGTGTAGGCCAGGTTTGCAAATAGCAACAATGTGCCTTTTATCACCTTGGAAGCGAGTATCATTACAGTACTAGGAAACCTGAAGACACTAAACTATCAAAGGATGAGTACCCAGGAAATATGTATCCCATGATATATATTTTAGCTGGTGCTGTGTGTCTCATGCGTAGGAGGGCCGATTCATGCATGCATGGGGTACAAGAAATAATCGTAATGAGCATTCATACTGAAGTATGTGGAGAATAAGAGATGGAGCACATGTAACATGGTTCAAAGATACCGTATCATATCCGAGGATATTGTTGAATGCCACTCTACCAAGTGATGAATGATCGAGGCGTACTTGACCGTAACCACAAGTGGGAGCTCAAGGTTCTAGACGTCCCCACGTCCAAATCAAGAAGGAAGAAATATCAGCTCGAGCTGACATGGGTTACGCTCGTGTCCAAGATAAGCATATTCACTTATGCTTAAATTAAGCTAAATATACTTAACACTTTGACCTTGGTGAACACAGGTTACAAGAAACGCCCTAAAGATGGATGTTAAACTGTCACATGCTGCCCCACGATCCCGTCCGCATTGAAGATGATCTTGCCTTGGAAAACTCAATCAGTCCTCTCCAGTTGGCTCCGAACGGGAAAGGTTCTCCCCAACAGAATCGATGAACGAACTGATCGATCATATGAGTGACTGGGACAGGTGTTCTGTATGTGTTGTAACGCTCTTCTTCCTACTTTTAGTCAAGTCAAAAGTCGCCAGCCTGACCCTTTATATTCTCTGCCCCCACCACCGTCGCCCTCCTTTTTCCGGCAGTTGTCGTGGTAGGGAGCATGTTGAGTACTCTACGCGTGTCCTCCTGCCCTTCTAATTCGAGATTGCTTCTTTAATGACCCTGCTTACTTTAATCTGATTCGAGGTTTACCGAATGTCTTCCAGGCTCCAGTAGGTTTGTGTGTCTGTAACGTTGTTCCTCGCATGCTTTATGCTACTGACCCGTGACCAGCTCTTTCAGCCCAGAGGTGTTCTGAGATATAATATACAATTCTTGCCCCGGTGAGCTTTACGTCGACCAGAGTCTGATCAGTTGTTCAATTTCTCAAACAGAAGGGGGATATTTTTTTATCTCCTGTAGTCGAATTAACTTTGACTCCCAGCCTCAAACTCTCCTTCCGCATTTGAAATATTAAAAAACAAAGGTATGAAGCCTATCAACATTTATTAAAAATTCTCTGATAACAAACTACTACTTCTATTTTTTAGTATTACAGTCGAAGGACAACCTCATAGATTTTAGCAGGATTTGCTCATTTAAGGTTCTGTCGGTTGTATGACAAGATTCAGAATTATTGGGTCCCATTTTGCCCCTAACTGTATGAACACTGCAGGATAAAAGATATTACCTTCGATTTGAGTGTTCAGTACGTCTGCGCAGAAGGTAAAAGGGGGACATCAACCTAGTAAAGAAGTTGAGAAGTTGCCAGAAACATCGATAGTTGTTCGATGAAGCTCGGTTTCGCTTTACGCACACAATCAGGTGCCCACGACGGATTGGACTGGTGTGCGGGTGGTGGTAGATATCAATCTCTTGCAAGAGTTACCATAGGGCTAGGCCTCGATGATATGAGAATATATTCCACTGCTACGCCTTTAAAGTCTTCATGTTTATATGAAAAATAATCTCGTACCCAGAGTGTTTTCCTACGGATCAAGTCAGAAATGTACAGATATGCACTATTCCTGAAGCACTGCGAGTCATGCCAAGTCTCTCTCCATTGTGTATACAATTTCATTCACAATAATAAACACGCATCAAATATTTTTATCGGCAAGTGCATTAGAATAATCAATATGCTGTAACACATATTGCTCATCATATTTCTACCGGTACTTAACCTTCAATTCACCATTAGCTTCATCCATTGTTCTCAATAAAGGTCTTGGGTTTAACCAGGTTTTTTCTATCTACTTGGGCCGCTATATGAGAATCCGCTACATAGTCCAGGTTAAGAATAGACAAATAGTCATGTCAACGCATATCAACACATCTCGTGTACAAAGCGATTAATTAGTCGATGATCGAGTGAGATAATGATCCTGAAAGTTTCTTATCGATGTGGACTAGTTTCTCAAGACCGAAATCACATAGCGCACGACGCGTGTTGACTGGAGCTCAAGCCATGGTAAGGATTGGGCCATAGTATCCCAGTGTATAACTGAGCTCTGTGATTTTTGTATGGACAGTCTTCGAAGTACCGACTAACAGCGTTCATGCTCAGGCGATGATTACTATAATGCATAAAATGGCCATGTCCAGGTAGATAACTGGCGAAAGACCTGCAGTTCAGCACGTGCGAACTGTAAACACTACAAGCCAAACTCGGTAGCTTGTTAATGATGCATTTATGAATATTCTACTTTACGTCCGATATCGTACCCCAATCGACTGCGTAGCGTAACTCGTGTCGGTCCTCTGGTCAGTACAATCGTCCGTCCGGATCGAACCCGGTGTCAGGCGATGCACGAAACCATGGTAAAGTCGCCAATGATCAAAAGGAGATCCAAAACGAGCAATGCAACAGAATCAACTGTTAGCCGAGTTATTCCGCAAGTACGTACTTCGGTACTCTGTCACCATTTCAGGTGAAAACTCGGGAGTAGGTTGTTGTCGAGCCACATCCGCAACGGAGTACTACTTATAAACGCTACTCGACCATTCCTGCTTCCTGGCGTCGTATCATCGTCTTTACGGCCCTCGCGTCGGTGCCACGGTTGTTGTCGTAGCAGCAGCAGCTCGCAGGAGGCGAGGATCTTGAGCCTGGGCCCCTGGGGACGGCCATCTTCTTCTGCCCAGAGCTGTCCGCTGGCCGCGACGCACGGAGTCAGTGAAGTCTGCGCCTTCCGTTAGTGGCACCTCCGAATGTGCTTTTGCATCTCAATCATCTCGCAAAAGTCGGTACGATGAACTCCTCGGGGTACCATGTGTAACTCTGAATGTGACATTTCTTGACACTTATACGGCACTCTCATAAAGAACCCCGCAAAATTCAAGCAACTATCGTACGCATGTGCAAGAAATTCGGAGGAATGAGCTCGGAGTGATTCAACTTTTGCAGGACTTTACCACATATTCCTAACTCCAGCCAGGAATTCTGTCACGAGTACCGGTACTTGGGCTTTTAAGCACCCCAAGCATTTAGAAGGGTACCCCCAAGAGAAGAGGGAACAAAAATTTAAAGTCACAAACCGGACTCAGACGTAAAGCGGAAATGCTGAAGTAGAATTTACCCCGCACCCCTATTAATTTACGTCAAGCCACCGACGAAGGATTCATGATGCAATCAGTGACTTTTCAAGAAGTGAAAACTGTCGAAGTCTTTTTGGGCAGGTGTTCTTTACACTGGTTGAACATTCTGCACATTCTCTTTCTAAAGATCGGATGAGAAGAACATAGCGGAGTTTCTTTTGGGGTTGAGGAGACATTTAAAGCAAACAAGACGCTAGATTTATACATTTCCTGTCTTTTCATGGACAGAATATATTTGAGTTTAGAATTTATTACAGTTCCCAAATTCCTTCATCGGTGCATTAAAACAATTCCATTTTTTTGATACGATGGAAAATGCTGTTGTTTGAAGGGAAGAAAGTGGATTACAATCTTTATTGATAAGTATCATCAGTGCTGGTGTGAATGACTAGTACATTTCCTTGGACTGCTAGAATGCTTCGATGTACAAAAAGTGATTTTTTAGATATTTAGCCACATATATTGAAACTTATGATGCACTCCCCATTGCAAGCCAAATGTGAACGGAAGAAAGATTCGAGTTTCGTAGAAGTGTTTAAGTTGTTTATGAATAGTTATGGTATTGTGGGTGTAGAAACACTTCCCTTTCTCAGATTACAGGCTCTTAGTCCATGATTTCTTGTTTGATTTCAGCATTGTATGGTTTATGGGAACTCCCTATTGTCTTTTTTTGCACTTGGCCTTCTCCTTCAATCATGTTATTACATTAATCTAAACGAAGTAGAAGCAGATGACTTCTACTTCTTATAGTCATGTAACTCAAACATTAGAGAGGATTGTTGAATTAGTCATACATTAATTATGAAGATCAATATCTTGTTTGTGTACTTTAAGCTCCTATCCTTAATTTGTAAAATTTGAGAATACAATTTATTCATATTGATTTGTTACATGATTTTCATATCATCCATGATTGATGTTTCTAATTTAGTTCAAATTATAATTGCATAACCTTGGATCGTGTTTTCAGTCTATAATTTTTCTCATGTGACACTGATATTTCATAGTTCCTGATGATTTCATCATACTTCTGAAACATCAGAAATTTCTATCAAAAAAACAATGCAATAAACTTTAAAATGTGATTTTTTATTTCTGAAATTAAGGTCAATAATCTTCACAAATTTGATCAGTTTGATAGAATTCACTCTACAAAATCACATTCAAAACACAACAATCTCTATTACTAAGCATCCAAGAATGTTGAATGATGTACTGTCAATAAAAAAACATTCATTGATGAATTCGAGAATTATCATTCAATGTTTTTCAATGTAAGTATTTTAGGTATGAATGGATTTTATATTTGATTAATTCATATTTTTAAGAAATAAACATGTACACCATTACAAAATTGATTTTTCATTCTCAAAAAAATAATCTTGAAAAATATTTTAAATTAGAAACACTCTTTTAAAACCTTAAAATAATCAATCTTATCTCTTATTCAAAATAACACGTTACATGTACGATTTTTATTAGCTTCAATTTTTATACCCTAAAAATAAGTATTGAAAAAAATTATCGACAAAAATTTATTAAAAGTAGAAATACCTAAGAAATTATACTTTCAATTGTAGAGATACATGTAAAAATTTCTATAATTATACTATTACTTAGATTATTTGATTTATTGTCATTGATTTAATATTTCAATATTTCCAATACTATTATTCTAAGATATATCTGAATAAAAGGTATTAAGATTTTATAATGTGTTATTATTTATTTATTTAGAAAATTTAAAGTTCTAATTAAGATTATACAAAGCATAGGATGAATGTATATGCATCAAAATTTATTGTTCATAGACATGGGATATGAGAGAAAGAATATGTTATGAGATATTTATGATAATTCTTTAATAAATGCTGAGTTGATACTCAGATATAAGAATAAAATATGATTTTAAATAACTTGTATTTCTATTTCCCTGTATTCATAATTAGGCTCAATTGATCTCCGATTTAGTTTATCGACATAATTTTCTCACTTCTCAAATTTGAAATTTCTTTGAAAAATGGATTTATTATACATACCGACTGAAAACTAACTCGGGATAGCGAAACCCGAGTTAATTGTTAGTCTCTTAATTTTATTCGCGTTGGAATTTTCTGTTTGAATACTAAAGCTCAAATCATCTGTACGTGTACTGTATAACCGAAATAAGCTTTATTGAATGTGCTTATTTCAGCATTAACTTGTTCTGTTGAAATATTCTCTCTTCAAGTTTTTTTTTTTTTCATTCGAGTTAAAACCATAATTAGAAGAGAAAACGAGATCATCATTATATTTCGAAGTTTAATCATTTCAGACATAGTCGAATTTGTAAGCTGATCACAATATCATCTTATCTTTCCAACGCCTTGAAGAAGAAAAGAATGCCGTGCGAAGACTGGATCAGTCCCGAAAATGCTTCATCCCGAGTGATCCCTCGTCCCTCGAAAAACTGCCAAGTCCATGGAGACCATGGAGGGGCCGGGGCTGCCAGAGGCTTAAACGAGCACCACAACGATGGACGCATGCATGATTAGCATGGGCGTAAATCAAAGCTTGAACAAAGCGGGCCAATCGATGACACCATTCGCCTAACGCACCACCGCGGTGCGTGGCTTCGAGGAGAACGATGCGATAATCAAACACCCCGACAGCCATAATGGTCCGAAGCCCTTAACCGACTAATGGTCGAAAGTCCTCACGTACACGAGTCACGAAGTGGTCCAAGCGAAAAGCAGAGGAGAGAAAAATTGCGCAAATTCCCAACATTGTCAGGAAATGCAATAAGTCTGTCCAGGGGTGTACTGATCGAGAGTTTCTGAAGGCAACGTGCAGTAGACGACAAATGAATGACTTTTCGCTTGTCGCCGATGTACTGTTGTGCAGTCTTGTCAGTCGACGGTGTTTCAACTCTCCGCCGGATGTGCGCTCGAACCGTAGGTTGCTGGCTTGATCGGAGTTCGGAGTTCTGAGTCCGGAGATGGAGAGGTGCAACTGCAGAGTTGGAGTGGAGCGCCGGAGTGTGGATGCTCGAAAGGCGCATCGAGATTCGAGACTAACCTGGTAGACGGTGACTGTTGTGAGCGGAAGGGGAAGCGAGTGTGAGTGCAATTGTGGTTACGTGATCGACGTTGACGATGTGGAGGGAATGAGCAGCAAGCACGTGAAGCTGAGGAAAGAATCAATGCTGTAGCTGGGTGGGAATCCTTGAAATAACATCAGGTTTACTCCGTCGGCCAAAATTGCTCCCTCGCATTTCAGCTCGTTTCTGATGGCGGACGATGACGATGCCGCCCCGATAGAGGCAGAGTTCGTTGAGACCGAGAATTCAGAGTTGATCATTGCTCGCGTCGAGAACAAAACTCGCCAAGTTGAGCGATTGCTTCGATTGTCAGTTCCTTTTCCACTCCCTCTATTTATATTGTATTTCAGCGCGGTGATCAATTTTGCCATTTCAAATGCTTGATTGCACGTGGATTTTCATGTTTGGGTTGTTGAACATTTCTAATCTATGCACGCGAAGATCGGTGGCGAAAGCATCGCTGACTCTTTTTTGTCTTTCGAGATCTATTTTTTTTTTCTTTCCGGTGCAAAAGCACTGCAATCTGGATTGAGTCCCACTGCGCTCACATAAATGTAATTCCAGGCTGCAGTATACCCAAGCTTTAGAAATCGCTCTGGAAGACGCTCCTACGAAAACTCGAGACGAAAGGTGCAAGGTATGTGATCAGCTTGGGCATGAAGCTCATAGGGTTACTGACGGGAAACATAACCTTATTTCGAGGACGATCGGGATATTATAACTTGATAGGTCTTAACGTTAGTCTCAAGCCCAGTTGCTAGGTACAAGTTCACTAGTTATGAAATTCCTTGTTGAGATAATTAGAATGTCCAGACCCGGTTTCTTTAGAATGTCTCTGACCTACTGCCTCTCCACGAGGTCTTATTGAATGATAGAGCCCTTGTTCTTTCCATTAGCAATACGTTCGAGTTCTGATAAGCCATGATCAGAACTTTTTCTGTCATTCAGAGGTGCATTTGGTAATTTATCTCAAATATTGAGCTATCACTAGTTTTCTTCTTTTCCAACTTCTTGTGTTTAGCTTAAGTATCACATATTAATGAGTGAACTTTTCATTCGTCGAAATCTACACGAACGAAGACAATTGTAGTTTTTGGAGTCTATTTCGACCTACTACAAGAAAATAAAAACTTGAAACCAGCTTATGGATGTCTTAAGTCCTGGAAGCAGAGTAAATTCGGAGAAGGATCAATTTGCTCAATCAATCAATTAACCGGTGATATGATTTTGCCGCAAAGGGAAACACCTGGCTGTAGGAAATAAATGGCAATGATTATTTACTGTAATCTTGCTCACTTTGAAAGGCTCTGTGATTGTGGTCAGTCAGCAAATTGGGTGTTGGTGCATCGCGTGCTGATGGCGACGAAAGATGTGGATGGATTGCTGACGAACTTGAATTCTGAGTATTATGACCTGCTTATGAAGTAAGTACTTTCTTCCCTCTAATAGACCTCAAAGAGATCCCCCCATAGATTATGCTGCGTCGAACGAAGGTCGCAAAAAGCTGCAATTATGCCAATAAATTGTTTATGCGCTTTTTCTCTTGCTGCAATGTCCATGAGGCACTTACCATTTTACCCTATCATCTCATCTTCCCAGACCTCCATGTTGATTGAAAGGAAAGTAGAGGTTCTTTAAAATTTCGATTGCAAGACTGCTGACTGGCTCCAGGTTGTTGGCCTAGAAGTGTCTAAGTGATTGAACACATTTATGACTACCATCAACTGACAAAGGCCAACTGAAACCAAGGCCTCAAGACTTCAGATTAAAACTGCATACCTGCAAAAAAATTTCCTGTATGTGCAGATGCAAATACAGGAAAATCTCAACTTGCAATTTCAGGAATATATATATCTCTCAGTTTCTGTAGAAGCTTTTGCTGTAGTAAGTAAGAGGTTTCTGTCTGAAGAGAGCCCTTCCTATGCACTCCTCCCAAAAATACGGTTTACTTTTTTGGAGAATATCATCTGTATAGGTTTGTTACACATTTGTTGAGATAAATCAACGTATGCCTCTACCGATGAAACCACTTTTCACATCGGAAACTGAGCTCACTAATGTCCTTATTAAGGAACTTGTGCTGAGTCGATTTTGTATCGCCAAAACTAGAGAGGTCTTAGATCCGAGAACTGGTGAAAATATTTATCTTAAACATCACCTCTCCTTCCTCCTCAAGCCTGCCTGCACATATTGCCGATGAATTTCAAAGCAAAGCATGGCCCTAACTCTTGTTTCTAATTCACATCTTTTTCAATTTGCGTTGATCATGTTTGGAGTTTCCTAGTAGTTCAAACTTCAACTTCTCTTCTAAGGTTTCTTTGTGTTTGTGAGCAGGTATCTTTATCGTGGCCTGGCCACAGGAGACAGACCGACTTGCGACCAGTGTTTACGGTTGCATGAGAAGTTGACACAAATAGCAGGAATGGGTTGTATTATGCGAGCTCTTGCGGATACTTGGAATGTCGTTTGAAGGCGAGTGTTACAACTTCCTTGCGGAATCTGGTTTTCCAGCAATCAAAGATCTTTTACACTCACTGAGAATTACTGCGTGCAGTCGGAGTTTTATCATCGAATCCTGCCAGGCCTTTTGAGAATGACCGAGCCCAACTTAAATTCTTCATCGATCATGCTTACAGCTTGAAGCACACAAGTTGACCTGTTCTGTTCGCGTGATGGTTTCTCTTCATCGGGAGTTTGCTGTAGACACAACTTTTTCGAGATCTACTGTTCTGCTGTGTAAGTTTACCTTGGTCAACACAACAACATGCCAGAAGGCTTCAGTTTTGTGCACTCTTGCTTCACTATGTCGGTCTGAGAGGTGTAGCTGTTACTGTGGTTGTGTCTCCCAAAGACTTGACCATTGAGGTTGAAATTGCAGAGACCTGCAATTCATGTTTGTGTCAAGAGAGGCAGACCTTTAGAGAACTCTGCAGGAAAAGCACGGCTCCAGTGTTTTCTGTTGTCACCAGAATTGAATATCTGAATGGTACACAAACGTGAGGTTTCTACTCTGCTGTTAGCTACTCGAGATTGCAGGGCTCTGTAGGCAATCTAGGCAAACTAGGCAATTTGAGTTTCGAGGCAATCGGACGAGCAGGTTGAAAAAAATCAGATGCTCTTTTCACATACCTGCAATGAATATGGTATTTTTAGAGGCTAGACCTTAAACGGTTAGAAAAATTAACCAAGGGCTTGTCACCGACTTGGGATAAGTCGTTGTTCGACCACGTTCATCAGTATACTCATAATACAAGCTCTGAACATATGATAGGCGACACGAAGGCTGGATCAACGAAATATACGGTTTCTCAATGAGGGGTATTAAAATGTGTTTCTCTCCCTCCGTTTTGGCCTTCATTTTCAATCTCGTGGTAAGAATTCCATAGTGTCAATATGGGTCCTCTTTCGCGTTCACACAGGTACATAAAGAGTGCCCTATCTCTGGATGATGCCAACCCAACTCAAAGTAATGTTCATATTCACATTTTTAACAATCGGCTTTTTCACTAAATTGTTGTACACTGAGTTGTACATATCCCCATCTTTTTTGGCCGTATAATTGAAGGTGGTCTTCTGTAGTAAGTCTTATGGTCCAGAAGGTTTAAATCACGGAGAAGGTCATGTTTCAGGCTTGGGGCTCACCGATCGATTATGGGATGTTAACGATTTTTCATAGAACAAGTGGATGACTTGGTCTTTGGGTAACTATATATAACATAACAAGTAACACAGCATAATACTCAAGTATTATTAATACATATAGTTACCGAGCACTGTTATTGTCATCATCTTATCTAAAGGACGTCTTTCTGAAGAACCAGCATATGGCTCGTAAGATTAGGGTTTTTTATCCCTAAAGGAAACGAGAATGCGAGACCGAAAGTAGAGCTGTGAGAAGGAACCGACGACAAAGTATCCAATTTCTATTATCTCTTGCTCGTCCCTGAGCAGTAATCCTGAAATTTGCATTGATACCATAAATAGTTACGATTTTTTATCAGCAATGGCAGGGACAAACAGCTGGGCGAGGGGTTGGCGCGGAGCAGGCAAGGAGTTTTGCAATGACAAGAGAGCTCGGTCTTTTTGGATGTCGAACATTATCAGGTCTATTTGCGTTGCCGCTGGAGTTTCCAGATGTTCGATTATTGTCCTTACGTATACCTATTACTGATCCTGTGCGGGTCTTAAAAGTGTGCAGAGACCGGAGACAAGTAGCCTGCCGATGGGCTCATCGCATCCCTTCCAATTTCAAGTGCTGGCAAAGAATGAAGGCCCAGAAATTGAAGACCACAGCAGCGACGCTCCAGGGTTTAGGGTAGGGTTAGGCGTTAGGGTTCCAGTCGTATCGGCCACACTAGAGAGAAAGAGACTCAGCAGGTCTCAAGCTTTGGGAGACCGCGTAGCCTTCAAGCCGAGCGTGGTTCCCAGTGGGCTTGATGTGTACCAGGTTTAGGGAGGGTCTCGACTGCAAACGCTGCCTCTGACTCCGAACTCGACCACGGTTTCGCAGACGTGGGTCAGTTAAGGTCTGGGCGTGAGTTCACCCGGTCAGACGTCAACCGGGAAAGTACCGTCACATGCGCCGAAGGGAGACGTCTCGTCACGAGAGAGCAAGAGACTCAGCTTTGGGAGACCGCGTAGCCTTGAAGCCGGACGTGGTTCTCTCGACCGGGAAAGTACTGTCACGTGCGCCGAAGGTAGCTTCGGCGCACGTCATTCGTTGCGACGTTTTCAGCGTCGTTGAAGCGAAATCGCAGAATAGGACCGATATAGTTAGGGTTGGTTTCGGTGGCTCTAAACCCTAATCGGTGAAGTTGAAGCCCATATACTCTCCTCTGCGATCTGGTGTTTCTCTTTCTTTCGCTCCTTTTCGAAGACACTCTCACCTGCCAAACCGAACAGGAGCATCGAGCTCGAACGCGATGAGGTGCGTTCGAATCGTCCCATTAATTAGAATATTGTAGAATCTCACGCAGCAAATTTTGATCAGCAAATCTGATGATTTTCCTTCAGAGTTTGTTCACGGCATTTCTCTCGATTTGTGGAATGAATCCATCGGATGTTTTTTCTCTCAGTTGTGAAGTGTTTCCGCCGGTTCAGCAGTGTTGTAGTCCGAGCGCAGCTGGCCTCTCTATGGAGGTTACGCTACGCGGTCCACCCAGCCGTGAGCGGGGAGCAGCTAGCTCTACGCTGCTCTCCCCAAATGGGTACCCGGGAGTGAAATCCCGGGGGAAAGGTTAATTCCTGGGTTCTGCCTGGTAAGTGGGGCTTATGGCAGGATAGGCGTTGTTGTGTTGGTGGTGGGTTGAAGGGGGTATTGAGAACCTAGTATAGCAGCTGACGTTTTGTTCCTGGAAAATCAGTAAGCTGCAGAGCGATGTCCTCAGGGAGGCCATCACCCAGGTGGTGACCGAGGCTAAGGAGAAGAACCGCAAGTTCACAGAAACTGTGGAATTGCAGATCGGTCTCAAGAACTACGACCCGCAAAAAGACAAGCGTTTCAGCGGATCTGTTAAGTTGCCCCATGTTCCCAGACCGAAGATGAAGGTGTGCATGCTCGGAGACGCCCAGCACGTCGAGGAAGCCGAGAAGATGGGTCTCGACTACATGGACATCGAATCTTTGAAGAAGATGAACAAGAACAAGAAGCTCGTGAAGAAGCTGGCTAAGAAGTACCACGCCTTTCTTGCTTCAGAGGCTGTCATTAAGCAGATCCCCCGTCTTTTGGGTCCAGGTTTGAACAAGGCTGGAAAGTTTCCTGCCCTTGTTTCCCATCAAGAGTCTCTAGAAGCTAAGGTGAACGAGACCAAGGCCATGGTTAAGTTCCAATTGAAGAAGGTGCTCTGTATGGGAGTTGCTGTCGGAAATTGCGAAATGGAGGAGAAGCAGATCTTCCAGAACACTCAATTGAGTGTTAACTTCCTTGTCTCTTTGCTGAAGAAGAACTGGCAAAACGTGAGCTCATCTCTCTCTACTCTGTCTACCAATGTTTCCAAGTCGTATCTCAATTGTGTATATACGGTTTGTTATCCAGTCTGAGATTTGTCTGTAAAGCTAAACGTTGTTGTTCTTTCACTGCAGGTAAGAGTCTTGTACCTCAAGACATCCATGGGAAAGCCAGTCCGAATCTACTAGTGCTGCTGAGTAATTTTTTGGTTCTCAAGCCAATTATCAGGGTGACCGCCCTTGGGTTTCTACCCTAAATGCTCAAATTAATGAAATTTTACCATTTCATAGCATCTGTGAATCAAAAATTGTAGCGCAACTTTCCAATTCTTCCGCGCAAGCATGAAATGAATATTGTATGCACCTGCCTTTAGCACACCTGTCTACAAACCTATCCGTGTCACCTGAAAGTCCTGAGATTGCTTCTAAAGGGCTCAGCTTGAGTGAGAAACAGATTATAGCTTATAGTTTATATTGTTACAAAATCTGAGAGTTGTGAGAATAAATTGTGAGTACGTGACTGGATATTATGTTTAAATGGATTTTGCTCTGAGTGTCCCAATTGCTCATAACATGAATCATACGAAGCGACTTTTAACAATTGGATGTCTTAAATTAGTCACTGGGAAACATGTTCGTAACACCCTTATTGACAATAGAACTGTGAACGTATCCCTGAAGTGAAGAGAAATATTGGTGAAATATGAGTGGATCTTATGTCAAAGATGTACCAGTGTAGATCGCAGAGAAGGTTCACCAGTAATCGCCTCATTCTGTCATGATAGAGTGGAAGAAACGCTGTGAAATAAATATGCCCTGCTCATTAAATTATGCTGAACAGAAAATATTGAAGAGTTCTTTGCATGCCCAAATCTCAGGATCATCTGCGTATTATAATTCAGGAATTCCTCAAATCAAGCAACTTAAGACATAAATTGAATGAAAAGGAATTAAATCGCTGATTTTGCCGGGGCTGATGAAGGAAGTAAATTGATAAATACCCCTACATGTGGAAAGATAAATAAATTACATACTTGATGTAACCCGGCAGAATTGGCGAGAATGCTTGATGGGAGCGATCAAACTTCGTAAACTCCATGGGACGTAGCCACGACACACCGTAGCGAAATCTAAAACGTTTAGAAGTTCCGATAATTCAAATTCATTACACATGGCAGTGGTGAGGCAAACCATACTCAACCGTATGTCACCTACAGTCATTACCTACTAGATATGTAGACACTGCCAGCCTTCGAAGTCCAAGTCCACAGAGTTCATCACCCTGAGCTGGACTCTGGACCAGCGCTTTTATGGCAGTGAGATGTAATGGCAGTCGTGATTTTATGTCATGATTTCCGAGCGATTCCCTAGGATAGACTTCGAGCTCTAGAGGATCGAATGACAGTGATTCTCGAGTGCTGTCCGTAATTACTGGCTCACTTGAGCTTCGGGGATTAGTCGATGAAGGCCTTGCTACTCCCGTAAGCCTCGACGAGGTATGCAACCCCTTCCCTATCCAGATGTGGTGGTGGATTGGCAGCCCGGCTGCACGTCTCGTGTGGCCCGATCAAAGGTCTCAAGTTCAATTCCTTTTGAGGGTCCCAAGGTAATACAAGCAGTGTTTCTTCTGGATGTGCCAGTCTACTCTTCGCTCATGCCCCCAGCTTCCCTGGAGCGAGAAGAGTGGAGGTTGTCACAGCAGAGCATCCTGTGTTGGCGCATGAAAGGGCGCCCCCTTCACTTGACATTTGCCTCTCTTTTGCCACCCCATAGTAGAACATGTACTATCGGTGGTGTCCCATCCGGTAAAACCAAATTCAAAGGGTCCCAGTAAGCAATTTAGGTGGATAGGTCCCATCAAGGAAATACCTCTTAATGACTTGGAGCAGAATTGTCACGAAAGATTTCCCTTGCTCACAATTTCCCTTACAAACACATCACCTCATGAAACCTGCGAAGATAGAATACCTCTGTTCAATTTCCATATCTCCTCACCACATGTGTCGGGAGTCACCAAAATGATCACCAGCCCAATTGTTTATTTTTTTATCAAGTCAACAAATTATATTGGGAAATTTCTTACAATGGACTGTCATTATTGTGGGGTTCTCGTTGAGCAGCTCGCTTTGACAAGGAGAAAAACACATGGGGAGCGAACTACATTTTCTCAAGCGCTACTTCTAAGTTCCGATAATTGTACAGGTCCCGAAGAAGATAACTTAGTCCTCAGTCTACCAAAATCTACAATACCATGGACCCTGACTTCATTTGTTTATCTTGTGGACTGTTTGGGTCCCATCCAGGCGGCATGATTTCCGGCCAGTCTCCTCGGCATCCCAGCCTCACGTACAAAGCTTTCTTGCCTGGAACAAAAACACGGCAAACCATAAAAGCATGTATCAGAATTCCATGTCGCTGACACTGATGCCAACCTCGCAGTCAAAATTCACTTCCGTATTCCAAAGTACCTCGAGAACAGCATGGTTTATGGAACTAGTTCTGACATCACATTCACACCACTTCATCTCCCCTTTTTAATGTCTTGTTGACAAACTAGTAGAAAAACTCGCAGTGTAGGGAGAAAAAGTTCGATTGTTATCCCACATTGCAATATACGAAGATTTTATCATAATATGGAAGCATAAGCCCAGAAAAGCTTCCAGCGATCGACTGTACAATATATACATCTGTCAGGGTTGGCGATACTGTCAAAAAAGAGGTTGTTCTAAGAACATTCACCTGGGAGGTCCTTCTCTCCATCTAGAAGATACTTGAGGGCTTTCAAAGCTCCTTCGGCTACTGGCCGGACCGCATCATCATCCCATCCAGATAATGCTACGACGGCATCTGCTTTTGAGTAGGCCGAATTGCCCTCCTGTTTGGCTTTGACAGCTTCCTCCTTGGCCGAGTCCTCATCTGCACATCAATTCGAGAATGCAAGGACAGCTCATTAAGCTGCATAGAATCACAGTATGTGTAACCCATCAGGTCAATTTAAAGATGTGAACACGATCAATGGATTCTTCTCAGGGCCTGTTCTTACCCTGAGCTCGACTTTGTGACAGCCAAATTGTGAAGCCTGAATGAAGACCTTTCCAACCGTCTTGACGAGAAGCAGCACCGCAGCTTCCTCCAAGTGTAGCCACGACACAGCGCACATGCCTGTCGACGGTCACTGTTAGTCAGTACTTATCACTACATCCAAATCAACCAAAAACACTGCTGAAATGGTCCCATTCCTGGTGCCCTGGGGCCAATATCCAAAGCTTCATCGAAATGTACCAGACATCTTCAGTTCAAGTCATGAGATGAACGAATTGACATCCTTACTGGCTCAGAGAGGTCAGCACTACTCCTTCTGCTCCAGCTACGGCATCTTCCCCCTCATCCGCAGATACTGCAAAAAATTTGAACAATCTTGTAAGGCTGATGACCCAGAATGTTCGACATTCTAATTCTCCTGATTCACGCTCGATGAAACATTGCGATGAAAACACAACACACAACGCTTCGCTTACTTTGATCGACAGTCACGTTCGCAAGTTGCTCAATTAGTTGTTGAGTGTGCAAAGGAGTATACCTACAGCACATATTAGAAGGTCACGAGCATCAGTTAATGAGCTCAAGTGAAGGAAATGTTCATCCAGTCCTAAAAAAAATCACAAGGTCCAACATCTGTCTGCCTCCAGGATACAGGGATTTCGAACCAGGATTGACAGAGTAGAGATAATGAAGATTCCAAACTTACTCCAATCCTGCAGCCAGCTCTTGTGCAACACTTCGATTCACTTCCGTTGAATCTCCGACAATGTAAACCGATGCTCCTTTTAGTTGCGATGCGACACCCTTGGCTAATGCCTCCCATGCTTGCACCAAGTCTGGCCATAGTTGCTCCTTATCGGCCTTCTGGAGGCTCAAGACCACCTCCGTCTCATCCACAAACCTGGTCACAAGAAATACGCATTACCGTCAATACGAATGAGGGAGCTTCCATAGACGTCGGCATTTTCTCTCGGCAACAGATCAAAGAAACGATCGACGTCGAAGTTTTCAAGCGGGTCCAAGTCTGAAATTGGAAAGCATATTGAACATGTTCAGACACAAGCTTAAGATAGAAGAGCGTAGGCTCAGACCAGACTGTTTCGTGTGGTTGAATGCGTCCGTAGAGCGAACTCGCATTGAGCAGAATCTGAACTCCTTGTGGGGTTTGCACTCCTACGCACAGAGAATTCGGTTGAGCATCTACAGCCACGTATCTCGCCGTGAATTGCACACCGCCATCTTTCACCTCGGGAAGCGGCACCCGCACCTCCAAATTCGCTCCTTCTTCATTGAACTGACATGGAGGTCAGCATTCATAATGCGGAAAACAGAAGACAGCAACCTCCCGGTTCTTTGAACTGGAGAGCGAAAAGGCTTGCTTCATTGGCCATCTCATCGTTGCCTTCAAATCTCTGAGGGATATTCCAAGCGCTCTAGATACGAATTACAACAACGTGGTTTCAAGCTCAAAAATTCCACAGAAACTACCTCGTAGTCGACGCCCTTCACCAGCGCCTCAATGTGCGAGTTCCCTCTTGTTCGCTTGCGTTTCAGATGATAAAAATCGGGTAGATTTGTCCTCAATGTTCGTGAATTGCGGCTGGAAACGAGTGAGGAGCTCAGCAATCTCGAGGGTGAGGAGAGGGAGGAGGAGCAGCAGCAGCAGGAGCAATTCGAGCCTTTGCAGCTCCGGAGATTGACATGAGCTGCACTGATCAGAGCCCCTGAGCCACTTGTCGACACTCTTCCCAGAGCAGGAGTGTCTACCGAAGGTCGAACATGCCATTTCAGCAGACTCGCCATCACTCTCCGCGTGCTCTCGCTCTCTCTCTCTCTCTCTCTCTCTCTCTCTTCCCACTTTCCTTGAGCCTCTTCGCAATTGCGCCCCTATCCCGTTCCTGTTCTTCGTTCCCGTTTACTTCCGTAACGCAGCCAGCGCTCCTTCCACGGTCAGTCGGTCGGTCTATCTTGCGTCAGCGCTATGAACGTATGGTACAACGTATGGTCCCAGACCCCATCGGGCAGCCATTCCGCTGTTTATCAAAAGGTGTCGTTTCGGCCGAAAATCTGAGACGCCGAGTATTGTAGCAAGTCGTACATGCATGCATGGATGGATGGGCTGTTAGCGTTGGGATCTCTTTATGGATTCTGCCTTGAGCCATGTTGCGTGATGTCTCTATCAGAAAACACTGAGATTGTATCACCCTCTGCCGGTCAACTCTCGATGGAATTAGAACAGTTTGAGACGACAATGTTTTTTGTAAGGGTATATTGTTTGAAGATCACATATCCGTAACAATATGGGATGGGTTAGAGAGAATAAGCTTCAATATATGTTCATCCGGTTATCTTATTTTAATGAATGACTTGATTCGCGCTCACTTGTATACTTCCATTAAGGAGAAAAAAATAGCAATATACAAGTAGTATATTTTCATGAAAGAGCATTATCAATTTACTGTTATGATTTGGATCATTCAAAAAAGCCATCTACTGCAAACCATATCACAGCAATAAGTTTAGATGATTAGACATTACTTATGGAGTCTGAATATTCTAGTTGCACTCTGTATCAAATTTCGTTGTGATTGAGTCAAATACCATCTTACTTCTTTAGTTTATCCATATTTTCTTGGATAGCTTATCCCATTAAACATTACTGAGTTCCATAGGTACATGGATTATCTAGAAGATAATGTAAATATTAATTATTTAGTATCAACTTCTGTTGAATTAAATATAAATTTTTAATTTTTTTACACAATGTTAAAGTGTAAACATATCAAAATTTATTTTCATAAAAATATAGAATATAAAATATTTCTTAAAATCTTATTATTGAATTTAAATTTAAATTTAAATTTCCAAGCCTTCTCTATGCTTTTATAAAATCTAAGTGCAAAGATACTAAATTGAAGATAATTTCAGATTTTTTTATTTAAATCTGAAACAATCTAGTTTAATGTATATCGATATTCATTAAACAACTCCTATGAAGTTATAAGAGTTGATATATATATTCATATGAAAGTGATTAGCCCTTTCATGTTTTTCTTTTGAAAATACTACATTTTGTCCTCCATTGTAGTGCATGATATATTTTGACCAATGCCCTTGATGTCCAACTTCTAGAGAGAATTATGAAAGTAAAAGATGACTTATTAACTATTGATATGAAAGTAGGGTTCAAGGATTATGTCACATTTCAAAGAGAATGATTTTCTGCCGTCATATATCACAGGTGAGGGCTGTAGTAAAATATAAAATGTCCAAGTATGTGATTGTACCAAGATATTATGATTTGTTCTTTTAGAATCGGATATGTGGAATTGTGGATGCTATTTTGACGAGTAAATAAGGGAAAGTATTCATAAAAATATTTAATTATCATGGTGCATTAAAGGTTTAAAAGAAAGCATTGCCATCAGAAAACCATGATAAAACAATCAAGACAATTGTTTCTTCGTATGTGTATGTAAACTTCTGGAGAAAGACAGCTCTAATATGTTAGATGCAGTAGTATAAGTTTATTATTGTGATCCTTTTGTACCCTTCTCGTATATTACAAATGTGTATTCATATATGTACTACACGATGATGGGGTACTCCCATACTTATCACTGTGTTACTTGATATCATTTACTAAACTTTTGAAATGTTACGGACAGGAGTTCAGAAGTAACGGAGTCGGATGGAGAGCGTCCTTCAGTCGACGATTCTGTACGGAGTTTAACAAACCGCTTTCCTGATTCTGGAAACACGTGGCGCCAGGGGACAGAAGGTCATGGAAATATGACGGAGTCGTCAAGGTCCGGTGGTGGTGCCCATCTGGGCTATCCTTTCGATGAACCAGTTCCTTTATCCAGTTCTTCTCTCGCGAATGGAGAACAAATTGGGTAAGAACAGCTAAAGGAGATGTGTGGACGCTCTTGTAAGGAGTCGGCCCCTATCCTCCCCGGTGGAGCTTTTGTTCCGCTCGCATCGCGCGCTGTGGATTTCTTCAGAAGCGAAGGAGACGCTCGAACTCAGACAGCGACGAGAGAACTCTGCTGCTCGTGACTCCGGGGCTAGCTATGGCGACAGCGGCTTTGCAAACGCGAGTGTCATCGCAGGGGATGGCTGCCTCGTGCAGCAGCTCTTTCATGGGATTGGCTCTATCGCCATCTCGGTCCCTGCCCTTTGTAAGTAATTTAAATGGTTTTGAGTTTCGGTCGAATGTGCTCGTCTCCAGGATTGGCGGTGGCGGTCGTAGTCTGCTCTGTTTGAAGCCCGCATTGTAGCCTGCCTTTTGAAGTTCCTCGGTCGTCCCATTGCGTCCTCGTGGGTCTTGTTTTTCGGGACATGGCTATGAGTTAGGCTTGGAATTCGTCTAATGCGTGTCCATTTCCTGTCGTGGCTTTACATCCAGGCAACTTTGAGACGACCTCTCACCATTTCCGTCGAGGTAAGACTACTGAGCTTGAATCCATCCTTTCTGTATTTTCTTGGATGGCACTGAAGCGTTAATTGTCAAAATATCGCATTTCGATACTCATTTCGAGAATTCTATTGGCGCCGGTGGTTTCAGCTGAAGCGCTGGGAAAGGAAGGAGGTTAAACCTAACAGTTTGCCGGTGACGCAAACTGTGCACGTCAAAGTTGGCGACACTGTCCAAGTGATTTCTGGTGCCGATAAGAAGAAGGTCGGCGAGGTCGCTCGTGTCTACACGCACAACAGTAAAATCATCGTGAAGAACATTAATTTGAAGACTAAGCATGTGAAGGGTAAATCCGAGGGCGAGACCGGGCAAATTGTGCAGGTATGCTTCATTCTAATCTTTCGTAATTAAATTGCCCTTTGGTGTTCATGTTCATATCCAAATTGTCCTTCGGGGTCAAGTTTAATGTGTGGGGAATCGTGTCCAGATCGAGGCGCCAATTCACAGTTCAAACGTGATGTTGTACTCAAAGGAAGCCAAGGTGAAGAGCAGGGTTGGACACAAGATTTTGGAGGGGGGTAAAAAGGTGAGGTACTTGTTGAAAACCGGTGAGGTCATCGATAGTGCGGAGGAATGGAAAAAGATTAACAAGAAAGAAAAGAAAGAGGACAAGAAGTGAGCTCTGGCTGGGCTTAGCTCGTAGATTAGGGTGTTTAGTTTTAGGTTTTTGTAGCCACATTTCCCCATTCATTATCTATTTCCATATGTCCCACTCTGAAGAAGCTGCAGAAGGGTCTTGATTATAGTTTATCGGTTTGGTGCAATTGATATTGTCTTTCGACCATGCTCTCTTTTTCGAACGGTTTACGCCCGCACTGAGTCGACTGGGCACGCAGTGTCTCAGATCCTCTTTCTACAAATCGATTCACCTGTTCTTAATGTGGTCCTGCAAGCAATTTATGGCTTGCCTTCTGATGTTCGATTTACTGAGGATTTGAGGTCAGTCGGTGAAGCTCCTGGATGAGTGCAAACCAGTCTACAGTAAAAGAAAACCAGCACGTAGGAGAATCGGGTAAATCTTTCTTCGTGTCTCATTCCTCTTTACTGGATACACAGCCAGGATGGTTTCTTAGTGGCATGGGCGATGTATGAGTGCTCGCAGCTGGCTGGTCTTACATGTGGCCGACTGGGATGTTTGAATGCGTAACAGAAGTTGTTTATTTTGTGGAGTTCAAACCTAGTCCTTCAGTAGGCAATCTCCCCTCTTGTCAGACAAGTAAGTTGTAACGAAACTTCACGTTATTAATTTTATCGAGGAAAGATGAAAACTGTGCGTCCATCACGCACAAGTCAATAAAAGTCGAGGTTCTAAATGAGAACACTTTGGATAAAAGAAAGTATCTTTGTACGAATAACACTGTCCACAAACAGTTCTCAGTTCCGGAACTGATAGAGAGAGTGGCCATGTACTGAATATTGGATAAAACATCATAATGTACACTGTGAAATAACGAAATACTTTCTAATGATTTTCAACATATGCAGTCCATCATCCATTATTCAATTGTTGGAAAAATAAAATTGTAGGTACAATGAAACAAGTCATCAGTTAATCAAGTAAATGTAATTTTAAACTTGATATTATATAGTTCATGTTTATCTTCATTATGAAAGAGCAACGGGTTTTTTTATATTTACAGTGAGTAAAATATAATTTACGGATGATATATTTTTATTTGTTCACATTTGTACATTAATTGTAGATGAATTTTTCATTTCTACTCCTTCTAATCTTCATTTTTTTACTTCTAAATTTTTACTCTCCCATATTTTTCTACTTTCATTGTTTTTTTAGAAATTTGTTTGAAGTGATCCATCAAATTTCAATTTATCTGATGTGATTTCATCGGTGAACTCAAATATATGTTTCTTGTACTAATATGTTTTAATTGATGTTTTTGCAATGACTTCCACGATGTGCCACTAGAGTTAAAGATGCTCTCGCCGGCAAAATTTCCCTACCCAACCGAATTTATCTAAACTTTTGGACATTAAAGGTTACACTCGTGTTCCAAAAACAATTTTCACAAGCACATTGAATCTTTTTTGGGTGTGAGACAGTGATCTGAGAGCCAATGCAATAGCACTGGCAGTTCAATTTTCACCACAAGCACATTGAATCGTTTTTGGATCTGAAACAGGGATATGAGAGCCAGTGCCATGGCAGTACAATTTTCACCATCACCAATAGTGTGTTTTTTAGTCTATCTATCAAATTTATGCTCCAGCCATTTTCAATATACCATCCAATCGTCACAGTGAAGATTTTGGCGCACAAGAATTCATACGCAAATGATCTTTCGGCAAATTATAAGATTTATGTTCCAGCAAATTTCCAGTATTGCATTGTCACGTGAATTACTTTTTTCACCGGATTGATATATCCATATGTGGATTTTAATTTCAGAAGCAAAATTTAGAACAATATTATCATGTATATTGAATTTTGATAATTCCTATCAATCAACTTGCATATTTTTCGAGATATTATGAACATGTTTTTCTACATATTGTGTATTTGTATTTTTGTATATTTTTCGTCTATATTTTTTTTCATTTATTTTCAAGTTTTCCCTCGATTTTGTTTTTTACTCTTTTCTCATTTTTTACATGAATTATATTTTCTATTCATATTAGAAGAATTTTGTTTTATTCTGAAAAGTGCGTTTTTCAATTTTCCTGAGATTATTTGTAATATCCATCCAGTTGATTTTCTCCCCTTCAACAAATTTAGATCATCATTTCCGTCATGATACTTTCCGCTTCCTAGCTTAGTACACTACTTCAAGTATTTGGGAATCATCCATGGCAAATAATCCTGTATGAGGTCAAAGGAGTATAGATGGTTATAAGCCAGAGTGAACAAATCATACTCGAGGGAAAAAGCATATGGAGATTAGACTGAATGTACAGAGCAGCAGCCCAAGAAAAATTATGTCGTTTTGCTGAAATACACGGTGGTCTGAGAAAGTAGTTACATGGTACAATACATCAAAACGCTCCAAGGATGCGTCGACAAATTCTAGCATAAATCCGCATCAAGGACAGGTCCCATCTTTACAAGACGCAGATAATCTAGTTCGCGAGTGTCTGGACAATGGTTGTGTGCCACGGGTCGGCAAGGTGGGTCAACAAATTCTCAAAAGGTCCAGCTCCGGTCAATTTCGATTGCACAAGCATACCCAAGAAAGCGAGCATGGCCAATCGTCCTGAAACAAAAGATCAACAGGTCATGCGAATGAGAAGTCGGTACAACATCAGGAAGTAGAATCCACCGAAATATCCAGAGATGTTTGATAAAAACATTGGAGGGGTTAACACTCACCGTTGGCGATTTCCTTCTCCTTGTACTCCTGGTTGGCGGGGAACTTGAGAGGGTTGAAGATACCTCCGGGGTAACCGACATCACCAGGGGGAAGCTTGTAGCTCTTGAAGAAGGGGTCCTGGCTCACGCTACCAGGGTACTTGATGTCTTGCCACCTTCTGATCTCGACGTAGTGGAAGAGGATGAACTCGATCACGAAAAGAGTCGAGGCGGGGGCGAAGTACTCGACCTTACCGGCGTCGTACCACAGGGGCGCGTTGATCAGACCGATCTTGGTCAGAACCTCGGGCACCAACATACCTGCAACTCCGAGCATAGCCCATCGTCCGTTCTGGAGCTCGGCCTGGACGTACCAGTTCAAGGCAGCAGGGTCCTCAGCAAGACCGAGGGGGTCGAATCCGTTGTCTCCGGCCAAGCTGAAATTCAAACATGGACGAGTTAAAGCTATATCTTCGAATCATCCCAACGCACATTTCCTTACTGCTACGGGCCTGCTCGATATCGCTTGCAAACCCTTTCCTACAAATCACAGACTGAAGTTTCGATTCCCTGTGATGAAAACGATGCTCCACTTCATGGAAACGGTAGACAATGCAATGTGAAATGCCCTCACGATTTCTACCGCGCCCAGTCGGTTCCAGTCACATTACCTTCCGTTAAGGTAAGCGGGGGAGGGGAGACCGGGCAGCCATTCTCCCTTCTTGGCCTCGACCTTCAAAGATTGGGAAGAGATGGGAGCGGCAGCGACCTGCACATTCCTGGAGAAGCGAGTGCTGCTAGTTCCGGAGAGGAAGCTCGTCTTGCAGACGGCCGAGGAGACGGACATCGCCTGCATTGAGACGGACGCCATGGCTGATTTCCTTCCTGCTGCTAGAAGGTGCCGAGCTTCTGGTAGAAAATTCCCTTCCTCTACTCGCTCGCTCGCTCCTCAACACGGACGCAGAATTGAAGGAGGGCAGGATGTGCTGAGCTTGAGTCGATGCCTATGCTCCCGAAGATGTTAGAGGCGAATGCAGAGGATCTGTATTGGACAGCGACCCGAGATGATAGGTGATCTCTGGCGCCAATAAGCGGTCGAGAGTGGCCCCGCCCGATCCCTCCTCATCCTTTCTTCGTTCCTCGCAACCTGACCGGGCGGGTTAACTGCTGACTCGGCCGTGCCACGTCCGCTTCCCGGATCGTGCTAGGCCTACTCGGATCCGCCACGTCAAGCATCCGGGTTTCTGGGCGAATGAGTATGGATTACGATTTGCGCGGCCAATTGAGATTGGCAGAGACCGGTGTCCAGGAAACGCGGGCACGGGCATCTCTACTGTTTCCTTCTTGTTGGAATGGATAATGATTGCGCTAATTTAGAGGGACATCTATCTGCGATTGTCTTAGATGGCCGCCCTCTATCCCGCTGGATGCCTGCATTTTATCAAGATGTGTCGTTTGGGATGAAAATCTGAGACGCAAGTAATATGGCAAAAGGGATAGGAACACTCCAGGTCGTACATGGATGGGGCTAATGGCATGGCGATTGGATAGTTTCTTCATGCTTTATGCCTTAGCCTTTAGTCGCATTCGCTGCGTGCTATCTCTACTATAAAAGATTGAGAATCTTTCAACAGTATGCTATGAAACCAGCACGGTTTGAGAAAATATGTACTCATAGCAATATTTATTATTGAAGCTTACATAACCATGACAATATGATTAGTGTTGCAAAGATTACCTTCAAATTTTTCCAGTAATTAAGAAATATTTGATGACTTTATTCACGCCTGTAGACCTACACTCCAAGTGGTGGAAAGAAGAAATATGGAATACCTACAGAAAAAAATATTTCTTAGACAATTTTGTAAACAATTAAATTATCCCTAACTATAAAACACTCGTTTGTGCAATTCATGACACAATAATCTGTTCATTTGATGATTCTTCATAGACTTCCGTAGTGAGATATATATATACTCTGTTTATAATTCGAGTTGAATTTTAATATATCCCAGGATGATGCCATTGGTATTGTTCCATGCTCGCCTTTTGATCTAACATTTGAACAAAAAGTAACATTTTGCATGTTATCTAAATTAACATACACAAATAGATTACGAACAATAAGTGACCGGAAAATATATTTTAATATATATCTATGAACTAAACATAAACATAATAACTAATTAGACAATTGTGAAAACTAAAGTTATCAAAGATAAATATAATATATCAAAATGATCAAATCTTGAACATTTCAAGATTAATAGATTCAATTTTTAAATGACGTTTATTTGAATTTATATGTAAAATTTCTTCTATTGCATTCAAATATCTTCATTATATTTGGATTTCATGTTTATGAACTGAAGTATTTAATATAATTTATAAAATTAAAGGAAAAAACCAATTCATGAACTAAATGAAATTTGTTGCACTTTTTATCATGAAAACTAAAACTCACTTATTTTTATTTATATTTTAACAAAAATCTTTCTAAAAAATATCATGTAATTCTTAGGAGTTAACTTTCAAGTTTCTTAGTAACTCAGTTTAGCTTGACTCTAGTTTATGAAGATAGTTAAACTCCCACGGTAACATAGAGCTTAAGAAAGGTCTAGGTTTCATTTTTGGAATTTAAAAAAATAAAATTTTGTATCCCGTGTACATAGCTCATAGTGGCAAATCATATAAATTCAATGTGAATTTTTATTGACAATGTGTCTTTGAGTTTGACTTTACTTCTTACAAACAGTATGAGAGCTAGATAGGATTATGCATAATACTCACCTTCAAGATTTGGTGAGTTTAATAATGTATTATAAAGTTTTATACATATTTGAATCCATACAGTGATTTAATTGATGAGATTCTACATTTCCCCGCTTAATACTCTGATCTTGACACGTCTCTAACCTCACAAGCACCACTACATCACCAAAGCAACAAGCTTGAAGGTACAAATTTTACAGAAAGCACTGTGAAAGATGGCGTGGACGTGTGGGTTAATTTGAATTAGTCAATTTTCCCTGTAATTGACAATGAAAATGCATCAGCAAAATTGCAAACTCTAGCGATTGCAATTTTGTGAAGATCAAAGGTGCAGATTCTACAAATAGCACTATGAAAGGTAGCGTGGGCAAAATCCACACTCTATCGAGTGAACTGATCTAAAGTAGTTGGATCTGGATTGCGATTTTGTGTTTGCTTTTAAATTATTCAAAGAAAATGATAATTATATTTTTTAGTATCACACTACTCTGATATGAGTCTAACTTCTCTCATCATACATCAATCATAATCTCTTAAGATATCATTATAGTTTATGAGTTTTTACCTCTAATTCCTTCCTCAGAATCTCATCAATCATTGTCACAGGTACATAACTTTGTCTATATATATTTTCAAATGTTATTATTTTGCAATTTTGAAAGCTAACCCGTTGGATTTTTCATACCTTGAGATAAACAGATTCTGAAATTAGTGATGTCTATGTATTGCGCAAAAAAATCAAAACTAATAGAAACAGGTATGAAAAATGCGTGCTCGTTATCTCTTCGGATGAGACTGAGGCATGAAGTGACTATTGCCTGATGCATTATGATTAAAATCATTTGATCATGTAGAGAAAATTTTTACTTTCCAAGCATTTGTCTAGAAGTATTTTATGCTGTAATTTGGTTACTTTTGCTAGAAATAGTACTGAAAGGTTGAAGTATGAGCGATTTAGGAGAGTTAAAAGAAAAATTGTGTTAAAAAAAATCTTATCAAATTGCACTCGTAGTTTAGCAATGAGTTTGCGAAACTTGAAGATCTGGGTTGCAATTTTTTGTCAATTTTAATTGCATTTTTGGACTTTGATTGCAATTTTAGATTGCAGATCAAATCATTCGCAATCTACCATGTTTAACAAATCAATGTCTCCACTTGGCGGCCGACCTCGGCACCCTGTATGAATTCTATTTGATTCCAAAAAGTTTGCTAAGGCAATGAAAAGACCTTGAAGTTCATATGACTACTGCGTAATTCAGCCATCACGACCAAGTTGTATCGTTTAGAAGCGTATGTGATTAAATGCACAAAGCGTTCTAAATCTATGATAGGCTTGATGGACGGTGTGTCGCAAATGCAATTCAATAATCTCAAAATTCGGTTCAAGTTTTCATCATCGTCAACAATTAGCTGTCCATGAAAGAAGAAAGCCAAATTGAATCGATCTACGATTGAATCGACAATTGATTCAACAAAGATTTGTTGATCAGTGGAACGATATCGGTTGCATGACCTATTCATGATCTTTTGTTGATTCTTTTTTAGTAGATGATCATGATAATTTGGACATTATGTTTGAAAATACAATGCATCATATGTCAACTTCATCTAATTTCTTTGAACATGCATTATCAAAGAAATTTTTCAAGACGCTTTGACCTATTTGGACTCCTCCTACTTCTCAAATGGTTGACATCACTCTATTTGTGTCTTCGTACGCAACATGTCATGAACGAGGTATTTTGTAATATGCGGCAATATCTTTATATTTGCTTCTCTTTAGATGATGTCACAAACTTGCAAAGCAAGAAATTATTGATTATAATGACATGTGTTTCAAAAGCTTTTCTTCTACAGCAATTTGCAATGGAACTACGTCAAGAAATGCTCACAATTTTCTTGCCAAGTTAGTGAAGGCAAAGGAATAGTTGATGGTGACTTTAGCTGCTTCCACTGCACATGTGAAACAAAATCAAGATGTCAAGCTGCTTCTTTGTAATTCATTGACTAAAATAATGTTTTAGTTTACTTTGGATAATTCCAGTGTAATAACTTTGTTTCGCAAGAAGTTATTGCAGTTGTCAAATTTTACAATTGCATTTGGCTGTACTCCACATGGTTTGAATAATTTCACATTGAATGTTTTCAAGAAGTTCAATATTTCAAAAGCGAGTGTTAAGGATATTGTATACCTGGTGAAAACCATTCGCAGTACTCATCTATTCTAGTCTCTCTATGACACCTTGTGTAAAATGAAACTTGGAATTGCTTATGTGCTGATAATATTCACCAAATCTTGTTGGACCACAGCTTGTATGTGTTCACTCGGCTAAACTAGATCAAGTTGGTTTTTTCTCTTCTTCCTTTCGCCATATCTGTTGGTGAATTGGAAATCGATACCGAAGAAATTGTGAAGCAACGATTCTGAATATCATCTTCTGGAAGCGTTCAACAGTCATGGAAGTTCTTCTCTGGCTCATTTGTGCAACCACATGACATTTGCAAGATGATAGTTCTACATTCTCCTTCATTTGGGCTTGTTTTTTATTTATCAAGATCCTCATTGTATCTCTTTCAAATCTCTCTCGCACAATTCTTGGTCTGCAGGAGTACTATCATATTGAGGAGCTTGTCAAGTTGCTTCATCGACGATTAGCCATGATCTATTTTGCATTCATGGCATTGGCCTTCTCTACAGATCCATATTATCATCAATTTTGCATGGATGTTGTAACCAAGTATGGTTGTATTTTGTGGAGTTGAGAAATGATTCCATGAACGAGCAATGTCGGACAACTCTTCAGCAGTTCGCGAAGAATTCACCCGACCTAGTTTTTGGAAAGCTGATCACTGACTTCTGTCGATTTCTAGTACGCCGCATTGATCCATCCAATTTATATTTCCAACTGAAATTTATGCATCCACATTTGATTTGGGAACAGATGAGCGATGGATTTAAATTTCTATAACCTACCATGATCCAAATTCATCAACTTTCTACATGGCTTTCTAATGGCAAGCGGAATCACAAGACAGACAAGCTGATGCTCAAAAAGCTCGAGTCAACTTGAATAGCTTCAGGTTTGAAGCTCAGATTGCAATATGCTACAATGGCGCGGTTTTTTGTCGACAAGATATATCTCATAGAGACGAGGAGAAAAAAACTTTCCTCAAAAAAATTTGATCTCTCACAATTTCGACTGGTAAGTCATTTGAGTCAGACAAGTCATGAAATATGAGGCTCAA